GTACCCAAAAAAACAGTGCAATTTATGTCCAGACGGTTGCAGACTGTACTATACCAGACACAGGTGGCGGACTGTTACATGTATCAGACACAGGTGGCAGACTGTACGTATACCAGACACGTGTGGCAGACTGTACATGTACCAGACACAGGTGGCAGACTGAACATGTACCAGACACAGGTGGCAGACTGTACATATATCAGACACAGGTGGCAGACTGTACATATATCAGACACAGGTGGCGGACTGTACATGTACCAGACACAGGTAGTAGACTGTACATGTCCCGGGCACAGGTGGCAGACTGTACATGTACCAGACACAGGTAGGGCACTGTAAATGTACCAGACATAGGTGGCACACTGTACATGTACCAGACACAGGTGTCAGACTGTACATGTACCAGACACAGGTGACATACTGTACATGTTCCAGACACAGGTAGCACGCTCTACATGAACCAGACACAGGTGGCAGACTGTATATGTACCAGACACAGGTGGCAGACTGTACATGTACCAGACAGAGGTAGCAGACTGTACATGCACCCGACACAGATAGCACACTGTACAAGTACCAGACTCAAGTTTGAGATTGTACATGTACCAGACACAGGTGGCATACTATACATGTACCAGACACAGGTGGGAGACTGTACATGTACGAGACACAGGTGGCAGACTGTACATGTACCAGACGCAGGTGGCAGACTGTACATGTACCAGACAAAGGTGGCAGGCTGTATATGTACCAGACACAGGTAGCATACTGTACATGTACCAGACACAGGTGGCAGACTGTACATTTTCCCGACACAGGTGGCAGACTGTACATGTACCAGACACAGGTGGCAGACTGTACATGTACCAGACACAGGTGGCAGACTGTTATATGTTACAGACACAGGTGCAGACTTTACATGTTCAGACCACAGGTAGCACGCTGTACATGTACCAGAAAGGTGGCAGACTGGATATGTACCAGACACAGGTGGCAGACAGTACATGCACCAGACACAGTAGCAGACTTGTTAAAGCACCAGACACAGATAGACACTGCTTACAGGTACCAGGACACAGGTTTGAGATTTACATATACCAGAACGGTGGTTAGACTGTACAGTACCAGACACAGGTAGCATTCTGTCATGTACCAACAAAGGTGGCAGGCTGTACATGTACCCAGCAAGGTGCAGGACTGTACATGTACCAGACACAATTGGAGACTGTTATGACCAGTCACAGGTGGCTCATACTGTACATGTACCAGACTCGGGTGGCAGACTTCATGTACCAGACACAGGTGGCTGACTATAACATGTACCAGACACAGGCGGGCAGGTGGGTACATTGAACAGGATACAGGTGGCAGACTGTAACCGACACAGGTGGCAGGACCAGGGACTGTGCATGTACCAAAACAAGGTAGCACACTCGGTACATGTTACCAGACAGGTGGCCAGACTGTACATGCACCAGACACAGGTTGGCAGACTGCCTACATGTTCCAAACAGAGGTGGCAGACTGTAACCTGTACCAAACACAGGTGGCAGACTGTACATGTACAGAACAGGGGGCGGAACTGTCCAGTTCCCGACACAGGTGGCGGACTGTACAGGTACCAGACACATGGGCAGATTTTTGCATTTGTTACCCACAAACAGGTAGCAGACTGTTACATAACCAGACATGGTGGAGGGACTTACATGTTACCAGTCACTGGTTTGAGACTAGTGTATCAGGACACAGGTGACAGACTTGTACATGTAATTATGACACAGGTGGTCAGACTCTACATGTATCATACACATGTGGTTAGACTGTATATTACAGGACGCGTTTGGTGGCAGACTGTACATGTACCAGTCACAGGGCAGAACCTGAACATGTACCAGACACA